ATATGTTTCCGTTCTGGAGCAACCCCAACACATGTTAGAAAGCTTCATGAAAAAGCATCTGAAATGGGAAAAAAAAGCAGGCGGCCGGTGCCCCGCACCCTCCGGCATCGCCCCCAGCCGCCGGCTCGGCAGCCCCGGGTTAAAGTGGGCTCCCTCTCCACCGGCTGTGCTCCTGGGTGTCAGAGCAGGAGATTTGTGGCATTACAACCACATATTGGATTTCACTTGAGACAGAATGTGAACAAGATTTACAAGCAATATGCAATGTTTTACACATTTCTAAGCGTGGTGTCTTCGAGCCGCGGCAGATTGCATGACCAGGGAATGCATTAGAAGGGAGGAATGGGATAAATAAATATGAAAAATCTTCTGTTTGGAGAGACTGATGCCTTGCATAATCAGTAGTGATGGAAAGGAAATACAACACCAAAAAAAGTACATATCCATTTTCTAGGATCTGCTTTGTTATTTTTTCAAATTGACTGTGCAGTAGCAACTTTTTTTTTCACTTTTTAGATTACTGAGCTCTTATCAATTTAGAATGCAGGGTGGTACATTTTTTTAATCATGAAAAGTTAAAACATACTCTGAGGTCACTTAATCAGTCCTTTATTTGAGGGGTAACTGCAAGACATAAAAGAAGCTCCTGAAGGGCAGAGAACTTTTTATTCCAAAAAGGGAGAGAAAACATGAGACAAACTGCTGGAGAAGTCAACTTCTCATCTGCTGCTAGTTGACCTTATCAATTATGAGAAATTGTAAGCACAGCTTGCTGAATTATTATTTTTACCTGAATGTGTAACAGTATTTGATAATGAAATTCATAAAACAGAGGTGATGAAGACCTTATCCTTATCTGGCCGCTTTGATGCAAGGCTCATCAGTTTGTGGGGTTAGAATGGTTTCTGCCTCTTGTTCATACGTTTTCATCACTTCTGTTTCTTCCTCTTCACAAGAAAATTCTCCTTCAGTGGTAAAGGAGGAAAACCATGTTCCAGAAGTGACTTGTTTGCCTTTCTCCTTGTTGCCTATCCTTTTTCACGGGATGATACATAAAAATGCCTTGTCAGTTCACCGTTGGGCATTGCTGGGGGTAGGAGTAGGGCAGTCCCAGCTCCCGGAGGGGGTGCAGCACTCCCTGAGCCTCCTGGACAGCCCTGAGATACTCTGCTTTAAAGCTGGGATAGTTTTAGGGAGAGAAGAATTAAGTTTCATCATTCTTATAGATGTTTATGGTTCCCTCTGACTGCTTTCAGGCTTGTGGTGACTTGGAAACCTGGCTTTGCAGGCAAAAGCCATCTGAAAAAAGTCAAAGCACATGAAATGTTTCCTCTCCTTTTTCCAGCATGAATTTTTCCCGTTCCCTCTGCCCACCCTATCCTGTCCCCTGCCAGTTCTCCCAGCAAGCTTACGTGTACGTGTTTGGATGGAGGGATGGAGCTCAGAGCTTGGGTCTAAAAATGTTTTGTGCTAACCCATTTCTGAGAACTTTTGTTCAAAGAGCTCCCACTTGCCTGATACACGTTTTTGAGAGGCAAAAAGTCCTTATTGACCTGCCTCCCTTCTCAGCTTGATAAAATTCTGTTAAACGCTGTGGAGGACTGCTTCCCAGCAAACCGAAACACTAGCCAAGCACTGTCAGCGTTAACTTACACCCTGGTTAATACAGTGGCAGTGGCAAGAGATGCACCGGAGCAGCTCCTAAGAGCTCCCAAAGGCAGAGCAGTATGGAGGGGTGTGGGAAATAGCCCAAAAACCAGGGCTGCCCACTGCCTGCCTGGGACGGCTTCCCGCGGCGCTGCAGGACTCCTGGCTGAGATGAGTGTAAGATGTAGAGTTAGAGGCTATTAAAGAATCAAAGACTCATCATTTCCTAATGCTCTAGGGCTTGGGATTTTACAGCACTTCCAAATATACCTTTATAAAATATACACAGAAAGTGCTTGTGCATAAGAATGCATGCATATCTATATAAAATGTAACTGTGAAATCCTAATGTACTAATTATATACACAGGGAAACATAAGCAGAAACCATGAGCTGCAATAATTGAACACACAGAAAGAGTCATCAATTTGTTAGAGAATTCACTATTCTTTTTGTAGCAACAAAAGGTTCAGTATTGAACCTAAATTTCATACTCGCTTTTTTCTTCCCACATCTAATACTGGCCATACTTAATAATGTTGTATTCTTATGTGAATTTACTGTGTGTGTGCAAGTTCTAATACAGGACAGATAATTTCCTTCTGTGCCTGGCATAAATGATACGGTATTAACCTAAATCGTATTTGATAACCTTCTTTAAGTGATAGAAGTCAGAAAATAGTTTTTAAAAGTCATAAACCATGCTTTTACCAGCATAAGCTTCTCTTTACAAGAAAAATGCATTTGGAGAGGAAGAGAATAATGCTATAATCTTGCATGAGTTTGTTTTTGCAAGGGTCTTATATTAATACATTTGTATACATTGGAAAAAACAGATCGTCCATAAAAAGACAATTACAGAGCACAAACCAAGCAGTCATAATATTTTTCTGAGATATCTTAAAGGAAGCAACATACTTAAAACAGAGAAGATTTTATTGTCCTGTTTTTCCACAACTCCTTATAAATCGTTCCATAAAAGTAGCCATCCTGCTTTTATTGATCTAAACTCAATTTGAGTTGCTTTGGGATTAACTTTAAAAACTGTTACAAAGTTCCCTCCACTGCAAGCATTTTCTCTAGCTCATGCAAATATCATTTGAATAGGGTTGATATCTTTTCTACTTGCAGTTACTCATGCATCTTTGCTTTCCGGCAGGAAAGATCCAGCTGACCAGAAAACAGGCAAATGCTTGAAATGGGAATTTTTGAGTAGATATTTGTAATAATGTATCAGGTAGCTTCACCAGCTTATCCCATAGTGTAGATGCCAAATCTGCCTGACACCCAAGGTGGCAGTAATATCTGAGCTGCTTTTGAGTATAGATAATGAATTTCAGGATCATCTATGCATTTACTTTTATCCTTTATAATTGTTCATACATTTGCGCATTGGGGCAGCACATGCCTTAGGGTAGCAGGTAGCAGAACCAGGGTGGTTATGTCTGTGCCCTCTCAGGTCAAGGTCTGTGCTTTGGGAAGGATTGTTGTCCTGCCCGTAAACTCTGTATTTCTCGGTGCTCACTCTCAATCTGTCTTGTAACGTGTCTAAAAACTAGGCAAGTTCCCAAACTTCCCTTCCCCCCTGCCAGGGCTGGCCTGCCACTGAGAGGAGAGGCATGAAGACATTTCTCTGGTGCCAGACAGAAGTTATTGGAGAAGATTCAAGAGCCAGCAGAAGTAGTGCCAGATCAATCTCATACTGCAAGAGATGGGCTACTTTGTCCTTTCCTTTAAGGGTGCCAGCTGGCATTGCAAGTCTGCCTCAGAATCGCAGCTTCCTTCAAAAAATGTTCAAAGTGTCATGGCTGGAAAGGAAAGCTTCAAACTGTAAAGCAGATGCACCCTGACGAGGCAGGAAGTGTGAGATATAAGGAGCCCCAAATGGTTTTGGTTTACAAAGCAGCCCATCTGATGATCCAACAACTCTTGCTCATAATTTCTGAGCACCTGGCAGGGGGTTTGGCAGTAACAGCATGGATGAGGATGATTCCTTGTAGCATTGGACCTGCCATGGGCGCAGCAGGAAAGGGAGCAGCGACAGCACCTCTGTGCATGGATTCCCTTCCTCCATCACAAAGAAATTGGGACCCAAGTTCTTGACTCCCAACCAGCGGAGCAAATTTGCATTCCTATTTTATGCCGCCCACCCTGGTAGGTTCGATCAAGTCATGCTGGAAGACCCTGGCTGTGAGTTTTCACCTCCTCACCGCACTACAGCGCTGCACTTCCATTTCACTCCTGGTGGCCACGCTGGACAAGGGTGGCAGCAGGCACAACTTTGTGTAGGGGCTTTCCCGGTACAGCCCTTGGCTGCAGGCTGGCTTTCCACCTACACATTGGAAAGGTGAAAAAAAGTCCTTGGGTTTTCACAAGCAAAACCACTCTTCAACACTCACCCTATTGTACTGGGCTTGTGCCACCCTGATTCTAAGCTGAATTTTACCATACTTTTGCAGTGAAATTCTGGAAAGAGTTTAGTTTAGCATGCTTCACACATGGAGCTAATTAAAGAAAAATCGTTCTTTAAGCTCATGAACAGTTTTTTAAATGTATCCTTCTGGGTTTGCATAGAAGTACAAGCATTCTGGAGCTGCAGAAGTCTGAACATTAATGGAGTAACAAAAGAAGCTGCTTTGTATACCCATCAGTGCTGTGGTTCTGTTAACTATAATTTGAAATAAATTCCTAAGCAGGGCACTTGTACAACATATTCACATGCCAAAACCTCTCTACTAACTCATATTCTCCCCATCTATAATCAAAAATTGAAGTAATGCAAGAGCAGATCTAGGAAGATGAAGGGGATGAAGAAAGATACTTGTCAAGCAGTTACAGATCAAAACAAGTTCCTTTGAGAAAATGCTTTTTGTCGCCTTCCTTGTCTCCTGTGTCGGATATTGTCTGAGATAAGTGACAAACAGTTTCAGTTCTTTCTCATCAAGTCTCAAGGTTACAGTGCATTTCCTAAGAACCAGCATAGATAAAGGAAACCTTAACCCACCCAGAAGTTAGCATTTTATGCATCTGAGGTTAACAGGAAGATATTAAATTCCCCCATAAATTAAACAGCTGGAGATTGCCATCTTTCTTATGTGCAAAGAGCACCTTGTTAGCAACCAGCACAAAAGTTTATGTTCTCAGATGAGTTACTTTGCCTTACTCTTAAATTGCCGCTCATTTTCTCCCTGCATGTTGATTTATGAACTTCAAAACTTACTGTTCAAAATTCAAGCTGTGTTTCCAAGCTGCGATGCTATCAAAACCACTGAACAGGTAGTCTCCCTTCATGTGGTGTTTAAAATATTTTTACTGAATAATAAGGCACCTTTCCTGTCTTTTGTTACATACAGGATTTTGGAGAAGACGATTCCCTCTACATCACCAAGGTAACAACTATTCACATGGGCAATTACACCTGTCATGCCTACGGCTATGAAGAGCTGTATCAGACCCACATCCTTCAGGTGAATGGTTAGTAAATGGCATATATGACAATCCATGAAAACGTTCCTGTAAGCAAAGTTGCGTGTTAATCTCATTCGCACGGAGACGTGAAAAGCCACGCACCAAATTGTCTTTGTACGGGAGCAAATGCGGCTCAGGGTTTGCTCACTTGTGCTATCACACAGGCAATCAAAAAGGAAGGTACCAAGGGGGGACGTGTATAATTACCTGGGCTGCAGCAGGTATCCTAACTGTAAAACAAGCTGTCAGTAACATTTCCATAGAGTTAAGAGCAGTGTCTCAAAGCATCTCTTAGACTAATGACAGCTTTTGCGAACAGAAGTGTTGCTTCAATAATTTCTTCTTCCAGAAAATTATTTCTGTTGCGTGCAATAGCCCAGGATATTTGAATAAATACAGCACGGTGTTTCCAAAACTAGCTAACTCAAAGCTATATATCAGATTATTACCTGGTTGTAGTCGGCTTGGTTCACTGGGGGCTATTTACGTTGGCTAAAGATATGGCCCACTGGGTTGCAAAATGAGGGCAAACCATTTTACAGGTGAGAGAATCACACGGGCCATATTCCAGCATTCTCGTTCACCTCCGTCCCCTGGACCACATTTGTGCCTGGTGGAACTTATATTCAGGCGTTTGCTATCTTTCTTCTGACCTCAAACTCAGTCAGTCAGATTTAGTTTAAAATCACATTAGCTTAAAGCGGCATTTCATTGAGGGACCAGCCTGTGGAGTATCCACCTCCCCAGCAGCAAAATTGTTATCCAACTTTAAAGTTGTATTTATATGTGCTAATATGACCGGCAGTATCTCCAGAATAGGAGACAGGGTAATCCGTTGCTCACTATGGGTAGTTTTTTACATACTCTGGTATGAAAGTATTTAGTTTCACAGGAGAATTCAGTAACTATTACAGGGGATATATTATAAGGAAAATTAATACTTAGTTCTTTGTCTAGATGCGCACAGACCTCTACAAAGGAGAGCTGTCAACTGGTAAGAGCAGACAGCTACACACAGGTTAATAGAGAGAGGCTGACACGAAGAGAAACAGTAAAAAGGGATATTTATGCACTTTAAGAAGCACCGTGATGGACGTGGCGTTTAGGTTTGCAGCTCAGGTCTTCTGGACGTGTGTAAGTTGCTCCCCACCCACAGCAAGTACCTAGAGGACAGCACAAAGCATCCAGTTGATTTGAATGAAAACTGACTTAATGTTTCTACATAATAATTTGTCATCTTTTGAGATAGTAAACTGTAAAGTCTCAGCAACGTGGATAACTAGATTGTGCATGCTGCAGCTGGGAAAATAGGTTTCCTTCCTCAAAGTGCTATTTGTTTGATGAATGGCGGTTGAAAGAAACGCGAGCTAACAACTTATTCCCGTGTATATTATGTGATATATTATGAGGCCTGAATGGAGTTTAGTTGGCATACAACAATGTAGACTTTATCATCACTGAGAATATAAGGCCCAGAGGCTTTGAAACTAAAACCAGAATGAGAGGAAAGCTAGATGGAGTGTGGGAAGGGGTTGATTCTTTTCGTACTCATGCCTGCCACTTAGATTTAACTTGTTGTTGAAAGATCCCATTTTCTTTTTAAATGGAAGTTTCACACCACAGCTGCATGTGGTTTTTCTTATTAATACAAGAACGCTGTTATACAAAAAAAACCCACTTTCCATGTTGGCTTTTTAATGTTGCTATATAGTCACTAAATACTGCAAAAAATGCCGTGCGTTCTGGTATCAACCCAGGCTTGCTAGAAGACACTGCAGGGTCTAGAAATCTTTGTCTTACAGCATCTGATATTCCCATATGAGCCATTAGGCTTTGCAAAGCTGTGTTTTTTTCAGTTTTTGATGTGGCTGGCTGGCTGCCCACGTCACTAAATTCTCTCCTTTTCTGCCTGTGTCGTGGCTTCCTCCAGCACCTGATGTTGGGGCAACAGCACCGATGACAGGACAACGTCGCTTACCTTCAGACGCATGGTGGGGTTCCCAAGGCAGAGCCCTGCTCAGGAAATCCTTCTCAGTTTTTAGTAAATTAAAGGACAAATTGAGGAATTTCTCTTGACAGGAGTAGAGGGAAGAAACTGAGCCGAGCTAAATTGAGTGAAGATGCCGAGAATCTAAGTATAGTTGATGGGCTCTGTTCAGCACTGGGGATTGTCTCTGTCTGTCTGTATCAAACCGAAAACTCCATCTTCAACACAGGAGGTTTTTTGTTGCTTTTCTGTATTGGACTAAAACTGTAAGAGAATGTGACAGAACCAAATCAGCCAGAGCTTGGGTGTATCTGCTCCCCTGTCTCCTCCAGGGAGGGACTGATACACTTTTAACATCAACAACACAGGGGGTTTTTTATTCTGTGAAAACAATCAGATTTTTTTTTTCTCTTTTTAGCAGAGAAAACTCCAAGTTTCTGTACTGGGAAAGTGTAGAGAAAGCAGAACCAACTGAAGTAAAAGGGTTTATCCCCAACCCTTCCCAAGCTCACTGTGTCTGTACAGGCAGGTCCCAACTTTTAGACTGTGTTTCAGTTAATTCCGTGTTTTTCGAAGCTGCAGTAACTCTTCCAGTGTCCTTTGATCCTTTTTGTACCGCCTGGGCCCTGGCTTACTCTTCCCACTGAGGCCCATCCATCCAGCTTACAAAGTATTTTCCTTTTATTGCCTTTTTCTCCTTAAAAGAATCTGATCCTAGTTATATGCACCCTCTTCATATGCTTTTATCCAACATATTCTCTTTATCTTACTTTCTCCTTTGTCTCTTTTTAGAACATAACACTGGCTTGTAACAGCTCATTGATTAGGTGATATAGGAAATTAGGAAATATAAGCCTAAATAGAAAGCTTAGAGCCCGATTTTGACAAAAATTTAAAGTTCTGGGATTCTAGTTAAATGTATTACAGACTAATCACATTTATCAAAAGTTTACCCACAGAAAGCCTTGCTTTCATCCCCGTATATTGTCACGGTTGTTTCTTTTCATGCCCAAGGAAAGTAAATTCACTTCATCGCAGTCGAATCCTGCTGGAAGACGGGCACGCGCTTGCCCACGGCGGGAAAGCAGGTGTCCTTACTGAGGCTTGCTGCTGTACCTGTGCCACACAACCCAGCCACGTGCGTGCAGCACTGTGCTTGGGCTGTTCAACCAGGCTACAACGCAATGCTAAAAGGAACCCCACGTTGTCCGACTCGGCATCAGGCATTGCACAGTCTAGGCTTGCCTAAAGATCCTCTCCAAAGCAGCCTTTCTGAAGGGGAAAAGAAGGTTTGTTTTGCTCGACTGCTGAATGCCGTGCAGTGCTTCCCCTTGTATCAGCTGGTTCACAATATGAGGAATAACGGGGCAGATCCAGATGCACATTCTGGCAAGCAGAGATGAGAATCCTGTTAGGCAGAAAGCGTGAAGACCACCAGATGGTCTTCACACCCAAACCGCTGGCTCACATTTTCTGGGCAAGAAGCATAAAGCACATATGTGAAATGCAACCTACATGTGACATTTGATGTGGTAGGTTTGGGTTGAGCTCATCAATCTTAGGACTCACAGCAGTGGTAAAATTCAAGTCGGTGTATTTATACACCTGGCCCTTAATGTCTTTGGAAGAAAAGAACGCGCTGAAAGGCAGCACAAAGTTCAAGAATGAAAAATTCATCTTGCATGCTGGTATCTTTGATGAGGAGAAGCCAAGAACAGTAGGAAAATTTTGTTCTCTCCTATGTATGGATATTGCTTGGGAAATGTGTACAGCATACACTAACTGTAGGAAGGAAAAGCAATTTATAGCTTTCAAGAAGAAAAAGAGTTGCTGAGGATAAAGAATCTCATAAAATCGTAATCAACTATGAAAATTGATAGCTTGCAAATCAAGAGACTGCTGAGTGTAAGGCCTCATTTTCCTTGGTTCTTGCACTCTGGAAAACATCAGCATAAATCAGAATATTGTATTCCTTGAAAACAGTTTTAAAAAACCATTTGATCCTCGGCCGAACTGTAAGGGTCCAATAGGACAAATTTTCTAGTAACAGAGACATGTTTTAAACACAGATGTTTTGTTAATGTGGCTTTTCAAGAGAAAACATATAATGCTGCAAACTCCTTTCAAATCATAAATGGAAAGATTAAAACATCTCAAGTAAATGATTAATCTATTAATTATTATTAAGCCGTGAAGTATATCGGTCCTATAGCAGCAATGTTTGTCTTTGGGGCTTCATACAGCCATCTGTGTTCATCATGTGCTTTATCACCTGAGCTGTTTTATTGTAATGAATTGGTCTGCTCACAAGTAAGGTACTACTTAGTATGCAGTAGTAGGCAATCTACCCAATCTCTTACTTGTTTGAATACCTTTTTTCTCCTACTTTGCTTAAGATAATAGCATTTTTATATTGCCTTTGGCTGCAGACACAGTAATGGTTAGCAATGATATATAGTCACCAAGGGAAATAGCAAAGGATAATCCATATATTCCAAAGTCTGGAGCTGAAATCTTTGCAAGTTTAAAGTAAAATGTGCTTACTTGGAATGTATTAATTTGTAGCAAGGATAATAAAAATGCATTCTGCAGTTTGCTGTTATCACAAGGCAGCTGCATGCGATAATTTACCTGTGCAATGAATTATGTAAGACGAGGGAGAAGAAATAAAAAGTTTAAAAATGGAAGGAGTAGGAAAATGATAAGAGAGCGGGAATGGAGGTGCAACACATATTTTTGTAGGTGAAAACAAGCAGTTTCCTTATTAATCACTCTTGAAAAGACACCTTGCTATAATTTCAAATTCATCTAATTTTCATGCAGAACGTTGATTCAGTGTCCAGGACCCCTGAGCTACTTTTTGCAATATAAATCTGTTGTGTTTTCAGCTCTGCAGGTAAAATATGTGGATTACTCACATACAGACTAAGATGGTATGAGGCAAAAACCGCGAGAGATGCAAGTAAACTCTGCTTTGTGAAGGAGCGCCCTGTTTCTAGGGAGCATGATCCTTGTGGCAGTCATTGGGAGTGCTGACCTGATGTCCGTATGAAGAGGAAAGCCTAACGCAAACAATTATAAGAAAACCTGATCAACCCACACTGGTTTTGAGAGCATTAAATAGGTGATGTCTGGGAGGGGCTCTATCTCAGTTAGGAGCTGCTGGGTGAGAAAACACCGCTAGGCTTGGAGTAAAATTGCTCTGGTGCCTTTGGCCGTTTGGGATATGTTAGAGAAGGGCTTGAGCCCGGCTGAGGGATCTCCATCTCGCCTGGAGCCGGGCAGGTGCAGGCAGGCAGCCGTATCCTGGCAGGAGCAGAGCCCTGCACGGGGCACGGGGCCTCACAGGCTTTGCTCCAGAGCTGGTTTTCATGTAGCTAGCTGCAAGCATGGGCGCACTGGTCTGTCTGCAAGAGGCTGGGGCAGGCAAACCCCCAGGCAGAGAGGGTCAGCATTGCTTGTGGACTAGAAGAGGCAGGTTTGTGCTGTCTTGAGAATTAGGAAAGTACCTGGAACATTAAGTACTAACTGCCCGTTGACTTTACCAGGATTTGGGCATCTAACCTGCTTGGGTGTCGTAAGTTTTTTCCTATGCATTTGTAAGAAACAAATCACCTCTCATCTATGAGTCTGAATTTCAATGGACATAGGCTTTCAATGGACCTCAGTTCCTAAACCATTTCATTCTAAAAATGTTACTAGTAGCAACGAAATCATAGGTGAGACAAGCATTGAGTGCAGGACCTTCATAAAATTCTGTCAAAGTGGACAAAAATTACTGTCTTTAACCTATTGCACCTGGAGACACCGACACGGAGAAATTTAAATTAATTTTGCGAGGTACAGACGGAATCAGAAGCTCCTGACTCTCAGTCTTATTCCCCTGAATTGCTTGGACACTGTCCCTTAAATGAACGCAGGGATGGCTCTGACATCTGCCAGCCATTTCCAGCAGCAGATCGCTTCCTTTGCTCTCCTTCCGCTTGATCTGGCACCTCCTGACAGCACCCGTAACCCTGACAGCGATGGCAGGAAGAGAAGATAAAAAGCTAGCAAATGCTTTTTTTTAGAATATACGAACTCAATTTAATAAAACAAACCTTGTCTTTTTGGTAACCTCCTGATTAAAGAGCTCTTAGGTGGTGTTTTACCCACTGCCCTGCATCTTACAACACGTTTTCTTTTCTTCTCAAGTAAAGGAAACAGAAGACAAGGAAGTAAATCTACACGTCCAGTGCAGAGGTGAAGTTTAAAGCCATTCCTTTGCTAGAAGTCCCCATTTTTTTGTCTCTTCAGTTGCCCCTAGGTATTTCCTCTCAGATTACACTTGAACAATCTCTCACTTTTAAAGCTATAAAAAACAAGTAGACTTGAGGGCTTTCTGTCGTGGCTGATTTCCTTCCAAGCTGATGAATCAGCTCTGGTTAATACTTGGCAGCTGGTAGGTAAGACAGAAGTAAAATGCATCTCTCTCTGGTAAGGGCCATAAAAAATAGAAATAAAAAGATGGAAAGTATATGCTAGTGAATGTAGTTATTTAAACTATCCCCACATGGACATATAGACACATAGCAAGCTGCAAACACAGATTTCATTTTATTCTAAAGCAACTGTTAAGTCAATTTACTTTTGCCAGTCATGGAGCCTAATGATGGACTATATAAAAACACAGCAGCGAGTTAAGGTACCTTAAGCCAGTGATTTCCAGTGGAAGTTTGTTATTGACTGATTCAGGCTTTCTAAAAAACCCCACAAATTTTCCTCGATCCTCCGTTAGTGCTAGCAGAGGTTACACATTTTCCTTGAGAAAGAAGTTGGGCCCCCACGTACCGCATCCACATTTGACTCTGCCCGTGGTTTTACGAAACTGTACAGCTTTCAACAGTTACATCATGAGTCCCAAAATCTCCTAATCTGGTAGAAAAGTTGACCAGTTGATTATGGAGCACAGCAGTCCATGATCACCCTTCAAATACCATCAGCCGTGATATAGCACATGTTTCCTTTTATTATGTCCCTTGAGGTGAAAGGAAGGAGGGTCCCACTGATATTGCAATATTGCAAATTCTCTTTAAAGTCGGTGAGTAAATTGTTAAGAAATAGTTAATGGGTGATATTAAGCCTTGTTGATTTAAGCAATGAAGGTGACATGATTGAAAATCAATGAACTTGCCTGAAATTGTAATATAATTAGTAGTTCTGCCAATTGAGTATATTAAATAGTTCATAGGTGCCTTCCTGAAACAAGGTAAGTCACGTTTTGGAAGCCTCTCAGAAAAAAAGAGAAGTAATTTATAAACACTTTATTTGTTCAGAATAACAGGTAGTGAATGTACAGGCTATTTCCTGATGGATATTTAATTAAAATGTTGAACAATATGCTACTTCTAATGGGCAAGAACTCCAATTCCTTCCTTACTAGAGTCAGTGAAGGTTTGGAGTTTATACTTTCATTTTTAAATATGTGAGTACCCGCCTTAGGTTTTAATCCAACTTTACTGAAGGTCAATCAGTCACTTAATGAAAGAAAGGAAGAACAAGCGAGAATGGTCTAAACACAAAATCAGATATCGAGGTTGCTCCCTGGCGTTGGTTTATTGGTTTCCTCTTTTCTATTATTATTTTCTGTTTTCTGCCCCCAAAGTTGAGCTGTAGAAAAATCATTACTGTAGCTTGCACTGAAAGCCAGGACGTTGCTTATTTCCCCGGTTCCTGGATCAGACCTCTTCTGCAGCACCGCTTGAAGGCAGCGGCTCTCGAGCCACCGACAAGGGGTGTCACCTGGCGGGTGAGTTTAAAGTCGCCAATTCCTTGTTTCCCGCAGTGCCGCCAGTGATTCGCGTCTACCCTGAAACGCAGGCGCAGGAGCCTGGCGTGTCGGCAAGCCTCAAATGTCACGCCGAAGGCATCCCTAATCCCCGAATTACCTGGCTAAAGAACGGCATTGATATCATGCCAATACTATCCAAACAACTAACGCTCCTAGGTAAGAACAGAATTTTGATTAATTAAAGTATTGTAGATGGGGTTAAGGAGGATTATTTTGCACTTTAAACTAGAAGTTCTTGTACTTTCGCTAAGCCACAGTTGTTGGAAATCGTGTTACAAAACCCGTTCTTCCTTTTTATCTTTTTCGCCTGTGAATTTCTCGGGAAATACAGTATTGATTGATATAAGTGGTAATGGCATTCTGTTAAAAGACAGCGTGCCTGGTTCTCCACTGCCTCGCCTCTT